TAAAATATTGATTTTTTAATTTTGGGCTGGAAAAGTGGGGGGCGTCTTGTACATGGGGGCGCCTGTGTTCCCTTATTGTCGGAAAAATACGGTAAATGCAGTCATAAGTACTTATAGGACAGTGAGATAGTTACGGTACAATAAGATACTGAAATATTTCAATTGATAGTATTGTTACCTGGAATTTTAGGCTTCATTATTACCATATTAAAAAAGGTGATATTAGCATTTTTTAACATGGCAATCTAGGCCTCTTTTCTAATTTTAGGAAAGCATGTTTTTCTTCTGGGGCAAGGCCATTTCTTTTGGTATATTTGGGAACTTGCCTTTTCAGCAATTAAAACAATAGGGAGCGTATTCTGAAACACTTGCACGTTTTAAAGATACAAACCTGGCTGGGAAAGGGAGTGACGTAACCCATACATTTGCCCCTTGTAGAATGTTATCTGGAATCAATATTTTCTATTGTTCAATTCTCATGTGTAATCAATGTCTTTTGTCGTTTGATTATTTGCCTTCTGATGTATCACATATACTGAATATATCATTTGTTTCTGTATCCCATAAAAAGACTTGACCCTCCCCCCCAATAAACACTTTTTGCTTTCCCTGAGTTACTGGGTGGTTCGTATTTTCAGGAAGGCTAAAAAGCCACCTTTGCAAAGGTAAAATTGTTTTCTCTCCCAAATTCAGGGAATAGGTCTTCAGCTCCATGCCACTCGGGGTGCCTGAGTTTTAAAGGCAACAGTATCCTCACGAACCTGAGATGCAGAAGCTGTGGTTAAAAAGGTCTACATTTCTTTCTTTCTTTTCCTACACCTTAAGTTTTTTGTGTTAAGACCGCTTTATGGTAGATTTTTTTTAAAGAAAGGGGATTAATATAGAGATGTCAACAATCAACAACAGTTGTCTAAAACAATGTGTCAAAGTGTCCAGCAAGAAGCAATTTTAGTCAGTAAACCTAACACTGAACAAAGTTGTTAACAGTCAGAAAGACTCAATGTCAAATTAGAGCACGGAGCATAAATCAAACAAATTACCTGTGCTCCTTCATTCTTGACAGATGGAAAACAATTACAATCACAAACTTAACACAGCCTACAGCTTGTGGGTTGGGTGGCCATTAACGCATAATTGCATTTTTGTACATCTTTATTGTGAATTACTCTTGCAATGCACATATTATCTGTGCACTTTGGAGGGAAATATGTAAGTTGGAATTGAATTCTAGGCATCCCATCTTTATAATAAGATTCAATGGGACGTTGGACATCAAATGTGCAACCAAAGTGAAACACTAATTGCAGTCTTGCAAATATTTGCATAAAAGCATTGATCCACGGACCATTAGATAAAGTTACTGTAAGTTTTGTTTTATTTATGAGTGAAAATTAAGTAATTTTGCTTCTACACACATATACTGTACAAACAACATATATTTTCAAAAGCTCAGTTCACTGAAGCATTCTGCCAGTCTTCAAGACAATATGACTAAAGTGAGAAACTTCCAATATTAGGCATGCTGATAACCCATTCCATGATTTTTTTTGACAGGTATCTCTTATGTTAAATGAAGGTCAAGCTAAAGTGAATTTGAGGCTTTTCCTACTGTAAACAAACAGAATGAAAAACTATTTGTAAAATATAAGATTACTCTGTTGCCACAAAATATATCTCACCTCCTAAATAAAAGGTAATAAACATAAACAGCATTTGATGAATCTATTTTATTTCTTACAAGAAGCTTTTATGCAGCCTGAACTTCTAAAAGTAAACACAAGGCAGGGTAAATAAAAAGTAAATCAATAATTTTTGTTAAATTTTAATAATCCCACAAACCTACAAATAAAACCATAAGCAACCTGAGTTGAGATGACAGTTAGCTGCGTTTCTATGACAACCTAGTTGAATAGTACAAGCCCTGACTTGCAGCAAAGCTTAAGATTTGAACAGAGTGACATTTACTCCATACAGGAAAATTCACAGCATATACACGCACATACATACACACACACAAAATTTCTCAACTAACAAAAAGTTTTTACTAAATATATGGCACTTTTAATTAAGGGCAAAGCACGATGCTTTTCCAACGTATTTTCAAACATTTTTTTAAAAAACAATCATTAGTGATTTCACTATTTTACACATTAAGTTACAAAAATAAATAATTCAGTATCAAAACAATTTTGTCCTTCAACTATTGGTACAGTATTTCATTAAGTTTAAAGAGAGGCATTTCTTAGAGTCATATCAACCAAAACTAAAGCACTGGTTTTGTAAGATTTTTTTTTTTTACTTGAACTTCAAATGCATACATATTATTATCTCTAACATAACACAAAATGTTTTTAAAAACCATATTTTCAGCTGCACAATTCTTTGGATCCTGGATATTATAGACAATCACAGAGGTGCTCAATGTCTCTTGGGGAAGCAGTCCAGAAACATGAATAATAAAATAAAAAATAAACACAGAAGTCTACTAAAATCAGTGTCATCCTGTATGTTAAGAACTAAGTCTTACTTTGTGCATATAACTAAGTACATTGGAGCAGTGCTGCAGCCAGATCTGTACTGGACTGCGGCCTTATATGAATGTTAATACATATTTATGCCATACATAGGTGTTCAGTTCAAAACTTGAAAGATTATTTTCAGTACACTTGCAGAAAAATGTAAGCTTCAGCTGAAACTAGGATTTTAAAGAAAAGAAATGTACTAAGTATGCTGTTGCATAACTGACTGTCCATCTGTCATAGCAAACAATTTAAAAACATATTCCATTTGTTCATTTTGTTTTTTGGTTCCTTACTAATTTGCATCTCAGCACACAGCAGCAGAATTACTCAGCAAGAACCTGAAACCTCTTAACTATCCATGGACATGTCCTGCTAAAAGTTCTATACAAAAAACTACTGTAAAGCAGTTAACTAACAGAATCAGAAGATTGATTAGGCCTACGTTATTCATTAAGATCAGACTCTCAGAACATTAGTTTCAGGATTTTTACTTATACGAAGCATTGAAGTGTGATAAATCTTTGCCCCCTCTCTGTTGAAAATAATTTTAAGATAATTACCTATCCATTAAGATTGTAACCAGGATATAGACCACATTAAACACGTGTAAAGTATGGAAGAACTCAGTTGCTTTTTTCTCATTAATATGAACACTCCAACTGCAGGATTC